CTACTTGATTTGATAAATCAGCATTTTCCCTATAGAGCAGCATTAAATTAGTGAGGGAGACATTAGATGCTAGGTTCAATCAAAGGATAAAACGGCCTTCAAAATTCCCAATTACTAATTTTCATGCTAATCAAAACAAATTGTTCTATCTTTAAGTTAATGTTAAAATTTAACCTTATTAAAAAGTTTAAACTTATTTTAACACAACATTAAAATGACACTATAAAATTATAGTGGTGTATTATGAAAGTGCTTTGCGATTACCAAGTGTTTTATTTTTACATACATATTAAGTAGTAAAACAAACTCAAAAGGAATGAGGTCCTTTGAACAGCATGGCAAACTTAGTGATTATTATTATTTTACCAACCTATGAAGGACTCTTACAAACAGAAAATTAAGTACAAAATTTCTATGAGTAGCATCATAATCTATAATGTAAAAAGTTAATATGAAAACACATTCTTGCCAGATATGACACAAAACCAAATGTTCCTCTCCCAAACACGCATTATTATTAATACTTGATCACTCATTACATTTTGTCCAGATGTTGATACAAAATGGTTATGTTTCAACATCCAAAAATATGTTTGAAAACAGGCAGATCTACTCACTGTTACCTAAACTGTCAGAACACAAATTTTTCTCTTATTTTATCATTTCTTGGCAAAGTAAATACATACTGTGTGTGCATGCTCATGTACTTTCACATAAAGAAAGACATTTCAATTCAGTAAAAGCACAGAAAAAATTGGTGTCCCAAGTACTAGAACAAATTCTCTCTGTATGTTTCATAGCTTTTGTCATTAAAAAGTCAATGAAAAATCCATAGGCAAATGAGACATTTCAAGATCTTAAGTCAAATGTTAACATCTCCAATAAATGCAGTTCTGGAAGTCATTTACTGTTTTGATTTCTATAGCTCAAAAAATGGACACTAAATTGGGCACAATCTCTTATTCAAACACTTAAAGGCCAGATATTTCTCAGAATTGGAATTTGCCAGATTTTAGAAAGTTAAGACAGCATATATATCATGTGTGACCTAAAACCTCACAGGGTGGCCTAGGCAGCACTTGCAGTCAAAGACATTAATATGTCTACATAAAAATGGAAAATCAGGTTAAGACAGATTAGGCTACTAATTTCAGTTGGAATTTGCCATCATGTTTGCTTTTTTTTAAAGTCTGTTTTTAGAGCTTTTTGAAATTTAGACAGCCAATAAAAATATATTAAATCATCTCACCCAATTTTCATAAGGAGAAAGGTATTCAAAAACTAGAGAACTCTTACTTTGTACTAGGCACTGGGCCAGGCATTAGGAGTAAAAAGGTGGAGAAAGGGGAGGACATAGAATCTAACTTCAAAAAGCCCAAATCTAACAGTATCTCATGGTTAAGCAACTGTAAATATATATTATGGGGTAAATACAAAATATCTCCTTCAAGCACTGACCTTAATCATACAATACAGCAAGAAATGTGGACCTACATACCGCCAGAAACATTCTGCTACTTTTTAAAGTCCTGTTCTTACTCCACACACATTTCTCCTAGAAGCTTGTTATCTAGTTTCCCATAGGTTATTACAAAGCAAAGCTGTAAGAAACAATTCAAGGAAGTAAAGGAATACAGGATGCCCTTCTTCCCCATCCCCTTTTCCAATCTTCTTCCAACGTGTGGACTGGGAAACGGCACAATGACAGCACTAAGTGTCAAGTGACAATCTGGCACCAGTTCAGTTTATTGCATATTTATTGATAACCAAGTATTACACACTTGGAAGGCACTAGAAATGTAAATATAAGTAAGACAAAGCCCTACCTCACAGGTGCTTACAATCCAGTGGGGGTTATTATGAATGGTGGGGATGGACAGTAAATTACAATACAGTGTGACACATTCAGTAGCAGAAATCTGAGGAATAAAAGCAGTACGCAGAAGGATTTGGGAAACCAGGGAAGATTTCATTAAGAAAGTGACACTATAGGTTCACTGAGAAAGTGGCACTATGTAGTTCTGAAAAATCAAGTTGGTCAAACAACAGAGAGGTGACAGAAATATCACCACCACTATCCCATTCAAGCCCCACATAAAAACATAAGCATGAAAGCAAAAAAAAACCAAAAAGCATGGGGGAGTTAGGGGGGTGGTGAGGGGGGTAGGCGGGGTACCCTCAGGGTAAGTGGCAAATATGTCCAAAATATCAAGCTATATCTAAACAGACTTAGATCCCCAGTCTAAATACATACAAACCATTAAAGTGTATCCAGAAAAAAACTTTTTGGTTTTTTTTCATAGATCACTTATTCTGCATCTCATGATTAGACAAGCTATATGGTCTTACCAAAAAACAAAACACTATAAAACATTTTATTAATTCACAGTATAGCATACCCCCAAGGAATAATACCAAGAGATTATCATCTATATTTCAGAGAACTATCAGAAAAAATAAACCACTAGGAATTCTTTTTTCCAGGTCATTTCTAATAGTACAGACAAAGTAAATAAATAAGCCATATCAGCATGAGCCCTATCAGACTTGTCACAAGAGGAGTTTTAAGAGTTTAAAAAAGGATGTCAAACAGAAGAACTAAAGCAAAGAAGAAAATATATATATATAAAAGTTAAAGAAAGAAAAGTTCAGTGAAAAAAATCAAGGTAAAAATTATACAATAATTTTTACAACTCATTAGTCTGTTCTATGTTTTCAAAAGCAGACTTCCTAAACAGACACCAATTTTGGTATAGCTAATTCAAAAAAATCTAGAAAAGTCACAAGGAAATCTACTCCTTTAAGCATTAGGGGTAGAAATGATCCATAGTTAAGGAACAACAATCAGACCTATCATCATCCAGAATGATTCCTTTGTTATCAATACTACGGTATCAGTAGTGTGTGTGATTCTATTCCAACATTACAGTGCAACTCAGTTTACCTCTGCCTCTAAAACTGCCATACCTGGTACCTTGGTTTCTTTTGCTTCTTTGTGTCACAACATCTACTAGAAGTCTAAGTAACAAATAAAATCTCAGTAGTATCTTCCTAAGATTGTACCACTATTTGCATAAGTTGTTCTCAAATGCCTAATAAGCAAGTACATGGAAAGTTTGCTTTTAAATATGTAATTATAATAGAATGAACTTTCTACAGTTAAAAATGTTAAGACAATTAAAAAATACTGTTTAACACAGCTTTTAAAGAGCAAAAAAAAAAAAAAGTTTACTTATTTTTACCAATCTAGTAACGTCTAGTATTATTTCATATGTAAACATGAAGCATGCTTTTTATTTTCCCACATTATTAGAAAATCTTATGAAGCATATTTGTGAGTGAAAAGGTAAACCTATAATTTCCCAGAGGCTGCAAAAGATTCTGCAAAGGTCTTTCAAAATACAGATACTTTTAATACCAGTATCTACTGAAGAGATTAAAAACCAAAACAATTGGGTTAGAAGCACTTCTAATAAAATCTACTCATAAATCTAAGTATTTAATTACTTTTGAACAAAGAATTTCAGATTTAACTGTGAAGTATCTCTGAGAAATGAAAGAGTAAACTAAATATCTAAAGTTATTAAGTAAAAACATAAGTAACTAGCTCTCTTGGGGAGGAATATCATTCTGAAGTTTATCTTCAAGATCACGTAGTTCGAAATGGAAGGGAACATAAATCACTCACGCACTATGCCCTCATCTTCCTGCCACATAAATCTACTTTAAAACTAAAGTATTACAGAAACTAAAAATCTTTAAAAGGTTGTATCTGTTGGTTGGTTAAATATATAAGCAATTCTAATTCCCCAAGAGTATCAGATTAGGTTACAGATATCTTTATACAGTATACTTATAATAAAAGGGTTCTGCCAAAAAACGATGTTCACATTATTTTTACTGATGCAGCATTAATCAAGAAGCCAAAATGTGAGTTTCTCAATTTCTATCAAAAATACAAAGTAATCACAGAAGTCACTGCACTTCAAGCCCTCAAGCAGGGGAAAAAATGAGAGCAAAGAACCTTTTTAAAATTAAATGAGGATCTTACAAAGTCAGGAAACAAGTGGGGCACAAGTTGCCATCTTTTCACATGTATCTTGTATTTTTCCTTTAGGGTTAATATTACACAAGAACTACAAACTGAAGAGATGCTCAACATGACAAAGTTAACTAAAGATCTTGATCCACTAAGAAGTATTTCAGGAAGAGAGATCTGAATGTACACAAACTGTCTGAATTTAGTCATTTCAGACCACTGCGATTCTTAACCAACTCCCTACACCGAGGATAAAGTTATCTTCCAAAGTTGCAAGGGAGACGTGTTCCCCGGTAACACGTTTGAGAAATAACTTATCAAATATACAAAGTATTTCCAAACAACATAAACCCAGTATGTAAACAAATGTTTACAAATTTCTACCTCCTGCCTCCATATTTATTACTTCCACTTACGTAGTTTTAAGGGGCAAATAAAGTTGCACTTACGATTCCAGAGGTCTAGAAATTCCTAATATCAAGCATGACAGAAAATCTGTTCAGCTTTGAACTCTAAATTCAAGCAAGGCCTCCCTCGTGACAGATTCTAACTAAGTACTTCCTACCATTTCACCAAGAATCTAAGGGTTGCTATCAATGTATTTAATGATTAGAAAACACCAGAAGGTTAAGAAAGGAGCAGGATTCTCTGACCAAGAGTTTTATGAAACAAAAGGTCTTCTGGATGTTAAAAACTGAAGGCATCTGCTCGGATTCTAAGGGAGTTATTGCTTAGGTTCCTTTCAAGAGGGTGGCACCCGTGTGTAAGACTTTTATGGTTGTAATATCGTACCCACAGGGCCTGGAATAAATGCAAATTCTAAGACCTTGGAAATGTTCTCATTAAAAACAACAACAAAAAAACTCATATTCGCTAAGAACCACAGTTACCAAGAGTTAGAGGCTTTCTCTCCTAAAAGGACCAGAGCCTGAACTAAGAACTAAGTTTTAACCCTACTCACTTCTTCCGTGAAACTTTTCAGTTAGACTCAAGACAGCAAAAGGTGGAGAGGCCCCGGCGGAAGTAGAAACCTAGGGCTAGCAACTTCACCGACCGAGGCGTTTCGGGTTCCTCCGCCGCCCCAGGACTCTCCGGACTCAGTCACTACCAGACTACGGAAGCTTCACCCTCCGGGTGCGGAAGCAGAGGAAGCATCACAGTTGCACTCCTCCTTCCACCATCCACAGCCTTCGGTACCCCAGGGCCTGGCAGCTCCTGAGACCCGTTAGCCAGTCCAGGGTCCCCCATCTTTCACATATACATAGACAGAAACACACACAAGTTGCAGATGATGTACGTGTATTGAGAGAATGTGAACTGCCAAAGATCGGGGCAACTGCTGGGAAGGCGGCAGCGCCGTCTAAAGCGGGCCCGGGGTCCTTGGCCACCGCGGCTGTCGCCTTCTCTTCTTCCCCAAGAAGCAGCGCGGCGGAGGCTTCTCCGTGCTGGCGGGAGCCCGGGGGATAGGAGTCTGGGGGAAGCCCCAGCGCCAGCCGAAGGGACCGGGCCTA